AGAGAGAGAGAGAGAGAGAGAGAGAGAGAGAGAGAGAGAGAGAGAGAGAGAGAGAGAGAGAGAGAGAGAGAGAGAGAGAGACAGAGAGTTTTTGCTTGGGGAAATCTGAGCCCCTGTTTTCAAGAAGCAGCGGAATTTGTTACAGGAAGTATGAAGAGGAATGGAGATCATGCACTAGAAAAGAGGAAATAAAAAATAAGAGCATGTTCAACTCAGGTATAAAGACAGGTGCCACCAGGCTAGTTGTTGCCGATGCAACACCATAACGCAGCTAAGGGAGCTTGTGTAACCTTTGGGGATCTAAAGTGCACCCCCCTGTGGACAAAATCTGAAACCCATGGAAGCTTATACCACCGTTGCCCACAGCAACTTGCAATCAAAATCACCACAACTACCTTCTCGTCCTGAAGTTGGGGAGAAGATGTTCCAGTAAGCCTGACAACCTCTATTGGGACTAATTGGGACATCTGGGAACTTACTCGGGACATCTAAAGAACCGCCCCGTCGGATACTGTCCTGCGCTACTACGATAGGATGGAGAGCGGATTGAAGACAACCTCTGTTGACTGCCACTGCCTCACATCCATCCATTTGGCGCACCATACGTAGTCCTGCAAATGCTGCATCTTATGAAAAGGGCAGGCCGTAGTCGAAGACACAAATGCATACTGCAAGAGTCTTCGAGTTTAAAGCGCACGTTGTGGGACAAATCCGAAACCAATGGAAACTAAACCAGCGGGACCCAGATGAACTCGCAATCAAAATCACTACACAACTACCCCACATGAACTTGCAATCAAAATCACTACAACTACCCCACAGGAACTTGCAATCAAAATCACTACAACTACCTTGCAGTACTGAAGTTGGGGGGAAAAATGATCCAGTAAGCCTGACAAGCTGACAAATTGGGACATCGCAAGAACCACACCGTCTGCTTTCTGTCCTTAGCTGCTACATTGAGATGGACAGTGGATGGAAGACAACCTCTGTTGACTGCCAATGACTCACAGCGATCCATCTGGCTCACCACACATAGTCCTGCAAATGCTGCATTGTATGAAAGGCAGGCCATAGTCGACGACACATACTGCAAATACTGCAAGTGTCCTTATTTGCGGGATACCGACATAAACAGTCGGGGAACATAACTTACAGGTTAACGGCAGCTAAAAGCCAAAAACACAAACCTCTGCTACTTCCAAAAAGGCCGAGGAGACACGTAGTTGACACGGGTAATGGTTTTCTATTCCTGCTGATCAGTGAGGTAACTTGACGTTCTCCTCCTGCTAAGTAAAACGTTCCGCGAGTTCCTATTCCTCGGCATAACCGAGGACATTCCGCTTCTACTGAAGGGTGAGGTCACTCGGCATTCTATCAGAGTTGCTATGTGCGAAAACTTGACGAAGACCAACTCATCTCGTCCGAATGCAGCATCATTCACTTCGTATCTGCTACGGTACAGAACTTCAGATGCGCGATCATTTTACTTGGATGCAAAACTCGCGCTTGCAGCAGTTGCCAGTGGCAGCAACACAGGATCAGAACCAGAAGCTTCGCTCCCAATGCCATTTCCAACAGCCATCTGGCGGTGAAGATGCCAGGTGTCAATCAATGATCATGATGAGATCAAGACCTAGTGCAGTTGCTCCTGATGTGCAGTCCTGTCTCAGCTTATGTGTATGCGTGTGGATCCCACCTGCACCACACTTAATTTTTACCGCAACCGGGTAGGTCAGTTGCCAGATCAATCTGGTATACACTGCACCCAATCCCTCACTACAACTATCATTGCAGTCCCAACCAAGTGAACCCTCGTTCTGAGCACCGTCTGCCGCACTGCAGTCTGCTACCGTTTTGTAATAAAAAGCACCACAATGGGAAAGAGGACATCAAACAGCCTGTGCGATTTGGTCAATGTCGCTTGGCCTTCGCTCAGTTCCTCCCATGTTTCATTGAACCCAATGATCTGTGCCTTGCCTGACTCGCCCGTCTCCTCTTGCCCCAGGAGTAGAAAATCAGAGCCATAAAGATCCCTCCCTCCCTCCCTCTCTCTCTCTCTCTCTCT